CTCTCGAAGCAGCAGAACGGCTTTAAAAATACTGAATAAAAAAGAGAGCGTTACGTTTTCCGTCTCTTTGTTCGGCGCAAAGAGATAGAAAATTCCATACGAAAACGGTCCGCTGAAATGTTGCTACTTGAATTGGCACAGACAGATTATATTGATTATTCATTCAATTGACTGTGTGCCGCGTTATGGATGAGTATTGAACAATCATTTATTGTTGTTGCCGCCGCCGTTGTCGTTGTCGTCATCATCGTCGTAGTCGTCGTTGTCATGAATGAGAGGTAGCTCACTCAATCGACGTACAAGTGAGCGTATCGCATCCCCAACTCTATTGTAAAAAATATCATTGATTAAAATGTGAAATTACTGTAAAATTATTGCAATTCATGTCACTTGATCAATCATTGCATTCATTATCGCATATTTCATGCTCACACCATTCGATAATAATGTTCGATCTCTAAGTTTTGAGCCAGAGAGAATCCATTCATCGCATACAATTGTTTCTTTATCCTCTCTCTCTCTCTCTCTCTCTCTCTCTCTCGCTCGTATTGTTTCCCAAAAGCTAAACATTCAAACATATTAACATTGCGCATCTAAGCAAACAAAGAACAAACGAACAAACAAATAGAAAGAAAAAAAAACAGAACGAAGTACGGCCTACACTTATGTAATTTGAGGTCAAAATCGTACAGCAAACATTTTGAGCTTACACATTGATACACAGCACAAAGTATACATGCTGTGCAAACAGTATGCGCAACGAGGAGGAGAGCGAACGAGCGCACACACAGGAGATGGCTATGTATTCAATTTGTATTTCACATCATTCTTTTCGAACAGAGTTCGAACAATCACACTTTTACACTAACGCAACACGTTCGCAATGCGCACATGTATTTGGTTTGCGTGTCAACTGCATTGCATATTCTTATCACTGTCATTATTTGTGTTTCATGTACAATTTTCATGTAGACAAATAGCAGCGATCGTTATTTGTGATGAAGAGGACCGCGATCGCGATCATTCGCGATGAGTGTGTAATCATTTCGGCGGATGGTCAATCAGATGGATTGTTTGATGTATAGCATTTATATGTTTTTCGACGATTTTATTCATCAAAACTGCGTGAGCAGCGTATTTTCGACAGAAATATTTTGAAATATCCGTTTTTTTATCTAGAGAAACGAACTCAGTTGCACACGACGAAAACCGGGCCGATAATGCGCTTCGTAATCTGTATTAGTGTCTGATTGTATGTGTTATGTGCCTATCTCTATTTCGACTTCTTAAGCGGTTCAAATGTTGTCATCGTGGGCAGCACGGGCTTCTTTTCACTTGACAACTTGAATAGAGAGCTCGAAATGTTTTTTTTTTGTTGTTCCTCCATATCGTTGGAGGCAACAACATCACACGGTTATATTGGTAGTTGTCGTGCCTCATATTAAATATAAAGCAGAAATATATCGACCACACCTAAAAAATATCTTATATATGCATGTATAGATGTGAAGAGAGACAGAGAGAAAGAGAGAAAGAGAGCGAGCGAGATATAGGGAAAGGAAAAGAATAATAAAATGAAAATAATATAAAAGTTGAATTCCGAATTATAAAATGGAATTACTCTTCGGCTTGACAACTTAAACACTTACTTGAATTGGAGCCATAAAGAAACAAAACGAAAACGAATAAAAAAAACAAACCATAAATAAATGGTTGGCGAAAATACTCAAGAAGGCGCTCCTCAAACGGTCGCTAAGCCACTTTATGTTTTAATTATATCTCTCGCCCGGAATATTCTATGAGCACATCGAATAAATTCGTTGCCCCGATGGGCAGCGGCCACAGCAGTAGCAGCAGCAGCAGTTCATTTTCAAGGTTCTGTCTCTACAACACTTGACGAATCGCACACATTACCTTCTTGACCATATTCCGGCTTGCAAATTGCAATGATTTTTTCTTCGCTTCTGGCCGCCGATGAAAAATCATACCGAGAATGGCTGTTGCAAATGTGATGTGTATGTATGCAAATTTGCATATCCGTTCCCTTAAGGTAGAGGCATTTTTTCGTCCATGTGCTGCGCTCGAATAAACTGATAAGTAACTCATTCATAAAATCTTTAGCTCGATGCGCGCAATGGTTTTAATGTACGCCTTTTGTCTTGTGTTTTTTTTTCTCTTTGCTTCGAATCATGAATATATGCGCACGCTCGTATCTTTCTTTTTTCTCGCAAGTAACCGCGCGTACGCTCACGCTCACACAAAACACAAATAATTCTTTTTAACAATCTAGAGTGCAGCCTTTTTTTAAGTCGATACAGCACTCGTTTATTTTATTCTTATCTGTCGCTCTTTCTCTTTCGGTTGTCCCATTGTTACCGGACTCTTTAGTTTTTTCGTGTTCCTTTCCGTTTTTTTGCCATATTTGCGTTGATTATACATTTGGTCGGCGCGTTCGCGAAGGAAAAAATAAACAGCAAGAGAGAGAGAGAGAGAGAGAGAGGATGAGAGAGAGGGAGAAGAGACCGCGTGAACATTTTCAAATGACTCTGAGCATGAGCTGTTTGGTGATGATGATGATGACGGCGACGGCGAAGACGACGACGACGACGACGACGACGAAGAAAAATAACAAACTTGAAAATTGCTGAAATGAACCGGCGTTATAATATGTGTCGATGCAATGAATGCGTGTTCAGCGTCTCTTTTTGATATGAAGACAATATGTGGAACATCACGCGCTCATTTATTATTTCTAGATGTGCTCTTTCTTCTCTCATTCTCCCCCTCTCTCTCTATCTTTGGCTCCCATTCTGCCGTTCTGCGATCGCATTCATTTCTGTTTCCTTTCACATTAATTTTTTCGGGCATTTTTCGTTAATAGAGCCTGGAATTTAGCTCTTGGCTATCAGCTGAATGAATGATATATTACCCTGTCTTCCAGTCGACAGAACAAAACGGAAACGCCAAATGCCACAGATTGATTGGCTAAAGATCTCGGTTCTTTCACTGAATGTCAGAGCAGAGAAACGACTTTTGGCCGTTACACACACACAAATACTCACACAAGAAACGCCCGTCATTCTTTTAGAGTCAGATTCGTTAAACGAACCATTTGCTACCAAAATCTAAATCATTTCAATTCGAAATAGAAGCGATAAAAGGAACAATCTGGTCAAAACACACTTGAATCACACTCAAACTCAATTGAATGCTTTGTAATGATTTAATTGTGGCTGGAAAGTGGAAATAAAGCATATGCGTAACACAAAAAAGGAAAAGGCGTGCATTTAATCTCGGTAACAAAATGACAAATCGTGACTGTAGCCAACATTTTAAGTTGGGAGAATTAAAAAAGAAACTGTTCGCATTAGAACTTCGTCAGAATTTATTAGAATCATCAAGTCTGTGTATATGTGTGTGACTGTGTATATGAACAAAAGTGTCGAATGAATTCAGATACATTGTGCATTCACATGCACATGCACACATTTCCATTCGAGAAACGTGTTTTGAAATATCTTTGCTTCTGTTTACGGTTGCAGCAGCGACGGCGTGCGTATACATCTGTGCATTGCACTACACACTGTGTGGATATTTGAGCCATTTAGTATTCTTTCTTCTAAGTCGACACACAATTAAGCATTCACACTGAACGAATATACGTGCAGCATCGTATGTCAGGATTCGGCGGCGGCTACACACTATATATAAATGGAAGAGGATAGAGAGAGAGAGAGAGAGAGAGAAACCGAAGCATTAATTATTGTATGTGTGCGTTGACGTTGTTGTGCGCGCACATTCATCGATCGCGCAAAACTTGCAAGAAAATTACAAATAATTGCTAATTATTATTTATGTTACAAAAGAAGAGAAGTAAAAAAAAGCCGAACGTGCACTCTTTTGACGTTTGTATTTATGCACCGGCTCTTTGAAATGATCGACCAGCCGCGTAGCGTACGACAATACCAATCCAAGTGAATGACACGGTAATAAGCGCAGATAAAATTTTGTTGTTGTTTCATGTTTCGTTTGCGTTTGTTCCAAACTCACCGAATGGTTGACCTGTGCACCATTTTATCAAATTAGATCTCGATGAATTTAGTGGGCAACACTTTGCTACCTGCGTATGCAACCGAAACAAACAAAAATAGGAAGAGACACTTCAATATTCCAAATGCGGCTAGTGCTGCTGTTTGTTGTGAAACTTTTTAAATTATGAAGTTTCTGTTCGTCGTTGTCGTTTTCGTTTCTATTGTATGTGGTTGCTGGTCTCCTGCTGTCCCATACATCGAACGAACAACTGTACGAATGGTGTATAATGAAGTGCCCCCCTGAGAATGAGCCAAAATCACAATTTCATCGAAAAGTATTGGAACATTTCATTAAATTAGTCAGAATATATGAATGAAGTTTAGCCATAAAATTGACAGACAGAGAATGTTTGAGTCAGCTTTTTTTTCTCGTTAACTAATTACTCCCTTTAAAGTCACACTCAAACTGACCTCTATACTCTATACCGTATACAACGTAGACATGCGTCATATTACTTTTTTTCGTTCTAATTAGGAATGCTGCTCACTTTTTTTTGTTCGTTTTCTATCCGCTCTCGTTCAAACTTTAGATCGTTTGTTTATCTAGAAAAATGATTACTCATTCGCCTGCGCTCAATTACCTCAATTGCCACGTTTTGATGACACCCATGTACGTGACTGTTGAACCATTCTATGTTTTTTTTTTGCTTCGCTTCTGTCGCATTTGTTCTGAAATATTGAATAAATTCTCGCTCCTATGGCGACTGGAAAAACCACAGAGAAATATGCGAACATACCAATAACCAATGACCTGTACCAATGAAGAAAAAAACGCAAAGCACATCGGCGCTGATTGCTCTAAATTTTGATATTCACACAAACATACACCGACCGCGCAAGCAATTAAAAGTCTTTGTTATATGGGTTAAAGTTTGAGCCTAGTTGAATATATGTCTATTTTTGTTTCAGTTTCTGGACATCGGCGTTGTCACATCAATCGAATGCAACCATAAGCAAGTGGAGTCTGCACGAAAGGGTCAAGAAGTTTGTATCAAAATTGAACCAATACCCGGTGAATCGCCAAAAATGTACGGTCGCCACTTTGAAGATACGGATATGTTAGTGAGTAAGGTGAGTAAACGGAATAAAAATTCATAATTTTATTATTATTTTTTTTCAATTTGAAAGCAGAGATTTGAAATGAACACATTCGTGTGAATGAATCAATGTGGAAATTTGTCTGCAAAAACTCTTTCACACAATGCGAATTCCATGCATTTGTCATTCATTTGAGAATGTCGAATGGTGCAGTGAAAATGCAAGAAAAGACACAGACGAACAAACCGAAGCACGTAAATGGACGGTACGATTTGTGTTTGCATGTTAAGTGTAGATGCGCGATGCGTGAATTTCACGTAAATATTATGGCATCTTCACTTTTCACAAAACCATTTCTATTAATAAAAATAAATCGGCTCTTGGGGGAAAAAAAGGGTTCATTTTTTGCATTTAACACACTTGTGTAAACACATTTGCTTCAATGAGCTTCGATAGGCTCGCCACTCTCACTATTCGTCACAAATGAAAAGTGAATATCTTGTTGGCGCGCAGCACGAAAGCACATTTAAGCAAATTGACATTCCAAAAGCATGACGTTCATTGTTTTGATGGAGATAAAAGAAACGAAAAAATAAGCAAAATCAAACCATCATCGGATTTGGAATTTCTTAATTGCCAGTTGAATCAACGCATAATTGCTCTGGTCTTTATTCTCTGTTTCGTGTACGCGCCGAACTTTAGTGACGATTCGAAATTTTCAATTTGAGAGAAATTTTCAAAAGCAAGGGAAAATGCGGGAACAGGAGAGAGAGAGAGAGAGAGAGAGAGAGAGAGAGAGAGAGAAGGCAAAAATTCCAATAAGTAAGTGATGATCAGCCCAATGTCTTAAATATAGCCTTCTTTTCAGTGAATTGAATTCGATAGTGCGAAATTCTTGTGCCTACCTCATGCTCATTTCTCTTGGTGTGTTCGAACTGCAGAACGCTGTTGATGTTGCTGCAATTGCATATGTTAACGTAAATGTGTGGCGATTGCGTGTCCATGCGCTGCTCAATGCATCAAAATCATCGAAACTGATCACAAACGAATCATTCTCAATCAAAATTTCGAGTCGTTTTTTCCTTCTTTTTCGTAAAATGGCTGTGGTATGCGCGCACACACGGGTCGCTTCATGAAATGCCTCTGTGTCCCGAAATGAAAGCCAGTCTAGGGCCGCCTCGTAGTAATTCACGATTGCATTCAATTTATTTTTAAATATTCGACTGTGGACGTGTGTGTGTGTGTGTGTGTGTGTGAGCGCGCGATATTCTCACTAGTCAAATAAAAATAAAATTTCGGATTTTGAGGCTGTGTGTTGACATTAAGCTTGTATTCTGGCTTACGCAGCAATTTGAAGATCGTGAAGTCGCGCAACACACAAATTATACATATTAAATGTATATTTACTTTGGTTTATTTGAGTGGAAATCTGGTCTATGTTATGAGAGGCGTATCCTGAACAAAATAACAAAACACAAATAAACAAAAAAACATCCTGAACTCGCAACGCGCAAACTGAACAATGAAACGTCAGCAGTACGATTTCCATTTCGATGTTTTGCATTGCAGCATTTTTTGCGTGCGTGTGTGTGTATAGTATTCGCACATGATGCGAAGAAAAGACACTAATTGAAAATAAAAACCAAGAGCAAAAAGTCGGGCCAAAAAAAAAACACAAACGCACAAAAAAAGAAGACTAAGAATGTGCAACAAACGCGCAAAAAAAAGCCGATGAGAGAGAGAGAGAGCCTCTCGACGCATCGTAAAAAGGTATACAGAGGATTGCTGCGTTTGCGTGACATTCCAAACGGATTCGGTATATTATTTCTGGCTCTTTAAATGTATTTAAAGCAAAAAATGTGTACTATTCTCTGTCGAGCTTTTCGGGACAAGACCTAAATTTTCGCATGCATCATTCCCAAGAGAGATCGAACATTACACGCATATACACGCTGTGCATATAAATCCACTTCATATTCGAAATTACAATTGTAAACAAATTTGTGTGTAGTGAGGAGCGCCAAATTGGCTCGCAATCAAATCACACTTGCCTTCCCTCATCGCTCTCGTCTCGAGCTGTTTCGTTTCGGTTGGTGTTCGAAAGGACGCAATTCATTTCTTTTCTTCACCGTCGTTGTCGCCGGCATTTTATACTGAACTATTCGCATGACAATGCCGCGTTTATTTGTGTTCGTTTCAAAGTTCGCATGTGTCCCCACAAGAAAGTTCCAAAAAATGCTATTCATATTAGATTTCAACTGGAATTCGCAAAAAAAATGTATGGAAACAAACGAAAAAAAAATTAAATGTAAATAATTTCATATCAAAGAATTCTCCACAAATTGCACTGTAACCAAAGCCATTGTAAATGTTAATAGGCTTGGGAAGAAATTACACGAAAGATTGTGTATTTGTGTATGCCCCCTTCCTACGAGTTCGAGTAAAATGACGGTGTGTCGATGTTGGTTCTGCTGTTGAACAAGATGGCTTAGAAACAGGAAGAAATCAATTTGTATGCGTGTTTTCTTTGCTTTCTTCTTGCAGTGGCACTCTTTTAATTAAACTTTTCAACGTTCCGTGTCAAATAGCACTGATGTTTCCGACTCACCAAATGATATTTTAAGTGCACATGCTACAGAAAGCACGTCAATATTTATTTCTCGGAGAAACTCAAGGCTCTCGTGTGTGTGTGTGTGTGTGTGTGTAAGAGTTGTAATTAAATCAATGAGTTCATCGAATAATTGAAAATGATTCTTATTTCATTGCGTATGCTCGTTTTTTTCTTCAATGAATGAATGAATGAATCATTCACTTGTTCGAAAGAGGAGAGAGAGAGAGAGAGAGAGAGAGAGAGAGAGAGAGCGCACTACGCGCACACACAACTAACAACAGCAAAAACATAACGTTTCAACCCCAGACGATGTAAAAGAAACCATTCATTTTGCATGCTTCAAATTATTCGTCTCAATGAAATGTTGCTCGCGTAAATGAAAATGGAATTACAGAAAAATGCCCACAATTTTTTTTCGTCTTTCTCTTATGTGCATTTCACGGAGTTGCGTTCGTCTTTTGTCTTGTGTGCTATTATATATTATTGAGCTTCCTCTGGTCGTTACGTTCCCAACAATTTTTGTAGTGCACACACACACACACACCAAATGTATACGTTCACTAATTTTGTGTGTGGTTTTTTTTCGTGTGTTTGTTTCTTCATTCAATGAATGAATTTTCTCACTTAAATGAAAGCACTCCCAGCATATACACAATGCAATTCGTTCCGCGCAGGGAAATTCATTGGCGTGAGAGGGGAAAATAACAACCACGAATACGATGTCTATTCGTATGGAGTGGATTGTTCACATCGTATATCATTCTTTTCCGCTCGGCAAAGAAAAAAATCATTCACGCATTCACAGCAGCAGCAGCAGCAGCATGCACAGCCATTGAAACATACACACACACACACATACAGCTTAAGCGTTTACATTCATGCGAACATGACATTTCATGAATGAAACACACAACGCGACAACGTACCAAATATCGATTGACCTATATTTCGGTAATGTCCTTGTTTGTTCATTGTTGAGCGTGCTCTTGTACATTTTCGTCGCCGTCGTTTCATTTCGTTTGATGACTGCACATTCAACAAACGGTTTCATTCATATAATATTTGGCTTTTCATTGGTTGCATCATCAAAAACCGTTCGCTTTGAATGACTTTTTGGCGCTATGCGTTATTTTTCCTACAATGAAACAATTATTTATTTCTCATTCGCTTTGTATGTGGTTGTGTGCGTGGCTGATGAGAAAAAATCGCCGAAAATCATGAATTGAAAATTTTACATTCCACTGCTCAACTATTGATCGATAAAGGTGATAAATGCGATTTGCGCGGTGAAATAATCTCTCTCACCTTGTGAGATATATGGAAACAATGACAAAAGCACGAGTGCAAAAAGAAAAAATAACTCATCGATGCAAGAGTATTATTTTAAAATTACGCTTCAAACGCCGAATTTTCGAGATTCCCCCAATTTTAGATTCCAACGTCCGTGAGTCTGTGAATGATTCGTTTTCGACACGCCGACTTCTCTCTCTCTCTCTCTCTCTCTCTCTCTGTTCCGGCCGCAATATTGGGAATTGTATTCGAAAGCTATTAGTTTAGGATGCGATACTTTCACAAACTACAGCATCAACTGTTTTGAATTCCTTGAAATGTCGGCACTCTTCTTCATCTTATGTGTGTGTGTGTGTAGGTGTTTTTTTTCTTTCTTGCAAAAATAGACGACCTTCATTCATCCCATTCATACGAATTTAGATTTTATTCCGCATGAATGGCTAAATTTTATTTCAACTACATGGCTTGCGACCAAATGGCTCTGGCTGCAATCAAAACTGAATTCTCTTTGCATGCTGAAGTACACATTAAATTATTTGACGTCACTGATGACCCAATTTCATGAACGGATCGAGCGGTAGGGACACAGAGAGTAGCATGACGATGACGTTTTATCCTTATTGCATGAACAATTGAACATTGTGCGTGTGTATGTGTCGTTTATGGCTCTATTGTATCCCATTCGATCTAGGCCATGCTACACCAGTATGAATGGCCAAACCATGAGATCCAAGTACTAGCGCACACACACACACACACACACAAGTCCTCATTGACGTCATTGTCGTGTGTATGATTTAGCAGCGCAAGAAATCGAATTGGGTCACGAAACACTGTTCTCGCACTCAGGATGTACCATCGAATCAATGTCACTTGAATCCGGTTATCCTGAGAGCAACATTTGAAACAGAATACATGTCATTTTAGTTTTTAATTTCATGTTAGTGTTCTTTTCTCGCTTTTCTCATTTTATTTTTTTTCTCCATTTTTTCTTGTTTCTATCCAGATATCTCGACAGAGTATCGACGCCTGTAAGGACTATTTCCGAGAAGATCTGAACAACGCTGATTGGAAATTGATGATTGAGCTGAAAAAACTGTTCCAGATTCTATAATTGCATTGTATGCATGGTGAATATGAGATGTGAGGCGTATAGTGAGGCGACCATTTGTATTTATTTGAAAAAGAAAGAAAACGTGAATTAACGCAATAAACGCGCACACGAATTGTCCACATCTGCAAATGAGGAAAATGGCAAATGAATTAAATCGGATTGTCAGTTGATAAATGATCTTTCAACTGTTTTATTTCTTCTTCTAAGTGACTTGATTTTTCTGATTTAATTGTTTGAAATATTAGAAAAATAAACAGAAAAATGCATGTTTTTTTTTAGTTAAATAAGCAGTTTTTCTTCCCTTTTTGCAAATCCAATTGATTATCTACATTGAAACGGTGTTTGCGTGTGGAGGAAAAAACAAATAGAAAGCAAATTTATTGATTGGTTTCGGTAATATGTGATTGACAGTTATAAAAATTGATTTGTCCTATTTTGCAAATGGTATATTTTGGCAGACTGATTTTCTATTCCGATAGCGAGTGAGCACGAGCAAGCGATCGAGTGAGGTAAGTAATGAAAATCATTATCATTGGTGACGATTTCCGATGTTGTTTCGAGAGCCCGAGAAAGAATCAACAGCAACAGCAACAACAACAACGTAATTGTGAACACTCCGACTGATTGTTTAACTACAAGCGATTGATTCGAAATGTGAGTTGTAGTTGCTGTCGCTGCTGTTTTTGTTGTATTCTTCCTGTTTAGTCACAACACCATACGGGAACGCGTATACATGAATTACATGCACACTTATTTATACAAGCATCCGGCCATGACTATGCGATAAGATATGGCTTTTTGTGTGTATGATAACAATTTTGTCGTGTTGCCTCAATTCCATTTCGAATACTGGAAGTATATATTTTGTATTCTTTTTTTGAAAGCACACAGTTGTCTATCGCCCATATAAAACATAATATATTTTGAACAGATTTCGATCATAGTTATCATCACGGTCATGATATTCCATTTCTCATTCTCTCTCTCTCTCTCTCTCTCAATATTTTGGGCAATAAAATTACGAATGATATCCACGTATTCGCCACCTATAAAACGACTGCATTCATTTGTCTGCTCTCTTTTATTCCGCTTCGTTTATGTGCTCTTTGCTCGTTTGGCAGTTTTCAAGCGAAACGGTCAATATATTTGTGCCATAGGATACAAGATACTTGGTGTATTATTTTCTTCTTTTTTTTGTTCATTTCCAGTCGCTTGAATTGCATACAGTGTGTTTTTATTATATTTTAAATATGAATGAGTAGCTGTTTTTTTTCGCCATTTGTTTGTTTAAAAAATGACGATTCAAAATGGAAAGAAATTGATATTCCAGCTATTAATTTTCATGTATATTCAAATGAAGCTCTCTAAACTGCAAAAAAAATGAGAATCAATTGATGGATTTTATTATGGATCCACCACACTCTGACAGCAATCTTTTTTTTTTAGTGTGAATGTACATTTGTCCCCATATGCACGATTGCTGCTGCTGCTGCTGCTATTCTGAACACAGTCGTACATTATAAATATGATCGCGGGCGAGCTAGTAAGCGAATGAGTGCGCTCGCGCGCGCACGCTAACGCTCAAATTCAACTTCATTTTTATTTTTCAACAGTGAACCTAAGTTCCAAGTATACAAAACATATTTGTGTGCCCATTTCGATTACGTTAACATGCGGTCAATGACGCCTCATGGCTTTGCACTTAATTTGATGTTCTATGTCGATTTATCTTGAAACTGCTGTCCGTGCTCTCTATCAAATTCTATATGTAGCAAATATTGTGTTGTGCGCTTATGAACACTATAACTACACACAATTTCTGGTCATATGCATGTGCTTATGGAGTTTCCAGGAATAATGCTTTCGCATTGCATCGCATCGATATGTACGTCAATACGGTGCTATCTATTGTCTGTCAATGCCGCAATTCTTCAATGAATTAAAAACTATTTTTACATTCTTTCGGAGATATATGTGGACAAATCCGGGATTTTTCTTCTTTTTTTTGTTGGTTCATTTCTAAGGAAAAAGGGGCAATGAAACAAATAAAAATTTCACAAAATTGAGCTTATCAAAATCAAAGGAGAATTTTCCCGCAATATTTTTGCTTCGAATGTGAATTTCTTCTCGCGCGGAGCATTTAATGATCACATAATAAGTTTGACGGCCTTGACCTTTTACGGTTCAACCCGAAAAATGCGGAACAATAGACTTGAGCTATTGTGCCGTGTGCGTTTGTTTTGCGTGTAATATTTGTTTATGAACCGAACAAAAAGTGGTTTCATTTCGAGTGTAAAAAAATGGCAATTATTTCGAAAGTGGATTGCAAACCGACAATCATTATCAATTTCATCGTAATCGACGTTTTTATAGCGCCTGTTAAACTCAATGATTATTTTAGAGCCACAAAAAATGTGTGAGTTTTATTTCGGTGCTTCAGACAATAATGAAATATGTGTCATTTATCTTGAAATGAAATCGGCTGGTTCCGGTTTTTTTTCTTCTTCGATCAACCGATACAAACACACACACTTTTACAACTGTCCAAACGTTATAATTAACAAGCGTGGGATTTTCCTTCTTTTGGGTGTGTTCAGCTTTTGATTGTAGCAGCTTGACCGATGTTTATTACGCCTAATATCATCTCTTTTTCATATTGTGTCGTTGTTTATTTCTCGAAACGAAGACTGCGTGTCATTATGAGCATCATGAGCCTCTGTCGGCTTTCTTGTCTTCCGTTCGCATTTACATGTTGTTTTTTTTATCACATCCTATGAGTTTTACGTCGTCTTGCATTGTTTCGATGTAAATCGACTATCTCGGAATATGTGATGTGTGTGCACTGGGCAGTTTTATTGGGAGTTTTACTTCGTGATTTTGTGAGTGTTTTTTTCTTTTTTGAAAATATGCTTTGAATGGAAGCGTGAAGGAAAATTTCCGTGATAAATGGAACTCAGAGTGCTGCACCTTATGATAAATGATCGATGTAGTTCCGACACACACACACTTCAGCATTTATGCATATATTAAGTACTTTTTTCGAGTTCAACCTTCAATTCAAGCATGGAAGTCGCCAATTTTTTTAAAACTATTTTATGGATGGAATTTTCATTTCTAAGCAGGATGTGACACGCATAACCGCCCAAAAAAATTCAACGTTTTTTTTTTAATCGTAGCACAACGATATCACTCGATATTTCGTCTGATTTTCAATCAAGTACTTTTGCTTCAATGAAATGTTTGCTTTCACATGTGTCTCATTCAAATTAAGTACAGTGCATGTAGTATGTGTTGCCTTTGCTTTGAGAATGTCAAATGATTTGTTAAATGCATTTTCTGGATTAAAAATGTCAAAGGTTGAGATGCGCGAGATGCCCGCCACACTATTCAAAGCAAAGTATTCTCAAATAGATGCGTAATCAATAAATCTGTTTTATGGGGCTTTCATATGCGAATTGCTGTGTTTCGCCTCGCTTTCTCAGTATGCGTGTGTGTGTGTGTGTGTGTGTGTGTGCATATATGGAGAAGCAACAAGCACAAGATGCAAGCAAGTCAAATCAAGCCATGCAAACGAATCGGTTCGTTATCAAGGAAATGTGTATCAGAGCTAATAAAGCCTAATAGAATATAATCTCCCAAATACAACATTTGCATGCAATCAACATTTGGATTTGAAAGAGACATTTTTTTTTTCAGTGCATTCGACATTGCGTATGCTCTCGCACAATTATTTTTATCTCATTTTTCCGATTTGATTGTAGTTCTGTTCTAAATAATCGGCAAAAGCGAGCGCTCGCGCGCATGTTCGAATAGAATGGGCAGCGCGTTGCAATGATTGCGGTTAAATCATTTACACTGTGTGTTTTTATTGTTTAAATATATATATATATTAATTTTTTTGTTGCTTTTCGCTACGGCTTAAAGAAACGCCAGAGGAAATTACTATTTCACGATAGTGCATACTGTGAATGCATACATACGAAGGAAAAAAGCAATGCGAGCGCGAGTGCAATCACCAACGCATTCATTTGGGCCCGGCTGACACATGTACACACGTTCGTACGAATACGTTCGGCGCATGCAATCATTACATATATCCACGGTGTGTGTTTTTCATTTGGTTTAAGCGTCTCTAAAAAAAAACCGATTGTATGCGTTTTGTTTCAGTCACAGCGAAAAAAAAATTATGCTGGTACTTCGTAACAATTATCTTATAAGTTTTAAACAAGTATTAGTATAAATCAACTACTCGATACTCTCGATTCGAGGCAAATGAATGAGCGAAATATACAAGAAGAATAGCGACGAGTAAGGGAATACACATCACAATAACATTGTATGGAAGAAGTCACAGAAGCTAGATTCGATTTAATGGCTTTCAATTCGTTTGCGCCTCTATCGATATTAGATATAACAAAATCTATCTAAGCACACATCAAATCATGTCGTACACACACACGCATGCACATCATACCCACTCGGCACAGTATGCATAGATGGCCGCGCACTGTAGGCTAATAGAGAACTTCTTTTTCATAATTATAATAACAACAGTAATAATAATCATAATAAAAAGAATCCAAGACGTAATCGCGCTACGGTCTCATTTCCTGTTTACAACTTGAACGCAAACTAAGGAGCATGGAGCAGATCAAAAATCATGAGGGAAAAGAGCGGAGAGAGAGAGAGAGAGAGAGAGAGCGAAAAAAAGAACGGACATCAGAGAAGAGAAGAGGAAAGAAAAAAAAACATCGAGAACGACACGAAAGAAATTGACAACTATAATTTTTTTTTTCGTTGTACTCATTTTTCGTCTCTTTTCTTTGAATTTTTCGTCGTTGGTCGTGTCCAGCCGTGTTTGACGCGTTGCGCTATTGCTGCACTTATGCCCATTCGCCTACTCTCCGTGATGGAGAATGGGTTGGCTTTGATTTACTGCTTAGAGTTAGATACATTTCGGGTAAAAAGTCGCCAAATCGCGACAAAAATGCAATTCATAGCAAACGAAGTCGTCTCCGTCGTATTCTTCTTCTTGCTGACTTTTGACAAAACCAAAAACAACCTTCAACAATGAACAAAACGCACTGCTGATCGACATAATCAACACAAAAATTTCGATTGATTTTCATACACAATGCCCATAGTTTAATGTGTGTTTCGTACATCAATGAATGAATCTTTTAGTTGCTGCGCTAGCCCAACATGTAACACACGAAAGTAGCAGCCGTTCATTTTATCTGAACGAAATGTAGTCTGGGTACGAAGTATTGCGTGAGGCAGAAAA